TGCAATAAAACTTACAATTTCAATACTTTGAGAAATCTTTGTTAAGGTAGAGTATTCCCAGAGTAGTGGGCTTTGCTTGCCATGTATTATATTACAACCTTGGGATGATTTATGGCAAAAATTGACCCTTCTTTCCTCACAGTCTCTTAGCAATAATGTACTTAGAGGCACAAGTTAAACTCCTATGAGTTAAGAATGTGATAACCACTATTCTGTTAATGTTTTACACTAATCTCCATTTTTTTTAATAGTTCTAGTTGCTGCTTATGACTCTCAATGCCACAATCAGGGTGTTTTTTTGGTAGCTTGTATTACCCTAATCACCAAGAAGTATGCTCCAATCTGATTAATTCCAGAATGATTAAAAGATCCTATACAATTCATTTATTGTTACCTCAGTGAATTGAATATTTGATGACTTAAAGATAACTTGATTTTTTCACAAGATATGTATTTATCACTAGGCAGATGATCTGTGTGTGGTCTCTCTGTAGTTACCAGGTGTGGCTGCCTGCAGTGTTAGATTCACAGAGGGTAGGCTCTTGTGAGCATTCTCCAGTTACTTACCACCTGCTTGATAATGTATATCTCCCTTCCCTAGCTCTCAGAAAACCACATCCCTGCACAGCACAATAGAGTCCTCTGTGGTGATATTTTATTTGTGCTCTAACAAATAAAACTTATCTCGGGATCAGAGGACAGAGCCAGGCACTAGATTAGACATAGAGGCCAGAGAGTGGCAGCACACATCCTTAATCCTAACACTCAGTAGGCAGAGATCTGTCTGGATCTCCGTGAGTTCAAGGCCACACTGGGAACAGTGCCAGGCATGGTAGACACACCTTTAATCCAAGCACTTGAGATCTCATGCCATTGCTTGGGAAGAATACATGCCTTTAATCTCAGGAAGTGACATGGCTAGGTAGAGAATGGTCTGCAAGCTGTGAGGAGACAGGAACTAAGCAGAAGTTCAACTGAGACCCTCAGGGGTGAGGATTCAGAAGCTTTCAGTCTGAGGAAACAGGATTGGCTGAGGAGTTGGCAAGGTGAGGTTGGCTGTGGCTAGTTCTGCTTCTCTGACCTTTCAGCTTTCACCCCAGTATCTGGCTCTGGATTTTTTATTAATAAGACCATTTAGCAATTCGTGTTACAGTCCTCTGGAGCTGGGAATGAGAGCACAGCCTCTCTTGTGTGTTGTCCTTGTGCAGCTTGCTTTCTGCTCTAGGAGGAGGGCATGGTGAGAGGGATTTGTAAGGATGCTGCAGCTCTAAGTGGCTAAGTTGTGATTTGTGGACTATTCGAATACTCAAGAGTGGATTTAAAAAGAGGAAAAGATGGCTCTGCAACTAAGTAACAGTGTAGCAGTTCTAACCCTAGTATCACCATTCCTTCTCTTTTGTCACTTTCTTTCACACCTGTGTGAGTGACTCCTCTAGAATCCTTAGGAGTGCTGTGGGTGGTTTGCCTGAAACACAGTGTTCAAGAAGACAAAATCCAGCTTTGGCCTCAGTGCAACCTTCTTCCAGTGGTACTGCTACCCCAGTGAGTCACTGCACTGTAGGCTATAGGGGGCTTGGAGACTAAAGTAACCTTAGGTGGCCCCAGTACTTCTCAGCCATGTCAAATCTCTGGCCACTCACTCCCATATGGTTTGAGGACTACAGTAAGAACATCAAGGGATGAGAGCTTCTGTGGGATATAATGGCTTTGTCAGTGAATCTGGTAGGTACTCTTTCCTTGGCACTTAAATGAGACTTCCAGTTCCTTATTGTCTGTTTCCCCTTTAAACAGACAATTTCCCTTTCCCTTTATTTGCATGGAGTCTTCAAGGCAAGAGTGATGCTGTCTTTTGTCTTTAAATTATGCCCCCCCTCCCTGCACTATCATGAGCACAGTGTCATCTCAATTAGGATTTATTGTCTAAAAAAGTAAATGGGAGATCTGATGAATGAACGAAATCCTATTACCCTTGTCAAGACTACCTTACCATGTATGTCCCAATGGCTCTCTAATTGTTTGTTTTCCTGTCATGTCTAGACATTTAACTCCGAGACACAGGCCAGATCTCCCTGCATTTGTCTTTGCAAGCCTTCATGCCCAACACTGTTCCAGATATGCAGGAAGTGTTTACAAGTTAAGAAGCACTTCCAGGTCCATTTGAGTTGTCTGGAAAGAAACCAGCTGTGGGGCTGAGCTAGATAAACTTGCAGAAGTAGTGAGTTCACAAGAGTACTGTATTCTAGTATTTTCTTGGAAAAGAAGGAAAGAACATATCTAAACACTGGACATGGGCACATATAGATTTGTCTGTACAGTTCTCTATCCTGAGTGATACTGTCTCTGACTTTGATTGTCATTATCTGATTTGCTGCAAAGCCCTGCTGTCCACATATCTTTTTCTTGACAGAATTTCCTTTCTTAAAGAAGTGAGCAACTATAATTCCAGGTGGAGGGATGATATTTGCAGTTTATGCAAGACAGCTCTTAGCTGCACTTTTAATAACAGAAGTCTGTGTAGTTTTGCAGCCATAAAGCACACTCAGAATCCCTTATTTCATTTGATAAGCACAGGGACCCAATGAGATTTGAAAGGATCAGTTACTGTTATTTATACTTTACATTAAATTATATTTTATGATTATAAATGCTGAAACTTTGATAGGTAGTTACTAAATCTGACTCCTGTGAGCTAGACCAAGATTTCTACCCAAAGTTTTTGACTCATAGGAGAATACTCTTTCTGTATGTGAATAATGTTTTCATCCTCTTTAGCTTCAAACTAATATTGATAGGTTTGTTTTAAAAAAGGTGAGCAAAGGTATTGTGGTGGTGGGGGGCTTGACGCATACATATTTAGCCTACAGAGCCTGCACTGATACTGTGTAACAATGACAATTTTAGTCTTCATTGCAACTCTTTGGATATTTGTGTTTAGGAAGGTATTTCTTGGAAGTTTAAGAATCCTCTTGAAAAACACAATTGCTAGATCACTGAGCAATTAGTGGATATATTGTTTGATACTAAGAATTACTAGTAAAGAAAATTACAAGTTATGTTGTATATTATTATGTTAGACCAGAAAAGACATATCCTGTGCACTATCAGTAGCTGTTAATTTTAAAATCAGAATCTAACATAATGGCTAGAGAGATGGCTCAGCTGTTAAGAGCACTTGTCACTTTTGCAGAGGGCCAGAGTTCAATTCTCAGTATCCACGTGGTGGTTCACAACCGTCCTTATTTGAAAGTTATAATTTAAGTTTCTTTATAACATGTGTCCAGTCAATTTTTGTCTTGATTTTTATTGTCTCTTAAACCTCATATTCAATACTATTGCATTAGGAAGTATGGCTATATAATTTATCATCTAAAGTAGATCTTTTTTAATATGAAAGGGAATACAGTTAATAATTATACTAGAATAACAAGTATAACCTGGAAGTGTATGTGGTAATCCAGGGAAGTTAACCTCATTATTGGAAATCTCAAGGCCTGTCTCCCTTACTTGGGATTTTATGTTTCCTGGAGCAGGGATCCTTACATGTAGAAAAAATTCAATAAATTCAGGTAGAAATCAATGGATACTCAATAATGAATTTTCTAATACTTGGATATTTATGTGATATCGTGTATGTTTTTTAAGATTGAGGAAATCTGGTGTCACAGTCTACTTTAGATTTCCTCAAATATTCTTTAACTTCATCTGCAATCTGAGACTAATGATGAACCCGTCTTGCAAGAAGTCTGGGGTTCACAGATACTGTGGCAGTGTTCACATTGCAGGAATGTTCCTGTCAGCCCTCAAAGCAGTTGTTAGCATTCAGGCATTTACACAGGCCTACTCTCCAGGACCTAGCAGCAGCCAAGATGTGACACTGTAGCTTCTGCAGCCACTAAGTAGAGCATAGAGCACTCTCCCTATGCACCTGCGCTATATCCCTTTATAAAAGGCAAAACCTTCTTGCCATCCCCTTTCCTTCTGCTCTCCCTAGGAGGCCACCTCTGCACCTCCCCCTAACAAACTTCCCACTTGAGCTCTGTTGCATGGTGTGACTTTGTGGTGCCCCTTGGCTCCAACCTGCCAAGGTTGCCTACCCCCAACCCTAACCCCTGCTAATTTATTGCAGCAGTTAATGGGAGAATGGGACATAATCACTGTTTTCCTTCCCAGAACACCAGTGATGGGATTTTTATCCTGAAGAAGGTGAAGGTTTGAAGGGGAGAGGTGGTAACATTTAGGAGATGCTCAGAGCCTGCTCAAGTAACATGCTGACTGATAGACAGTTCACTAAGTGGTAGTTCTACTCTCAAGTCCTCCATCATATACCATAGTGGAGCTGCTATCTTTCTTTGATGTTTGACTCATTGCATTTACTGGTTGCCAAACCCTGGGAGAAAAATGTCATTTGCTTGACACACAGTAAGTCCTCAGTATGTTTATATTTGGGTTGGGTTTTGATTGATTAAGAAAGTGTCACAGGGTGGGGGGAGGGAGATGGTATTCACTTACTATAAACCTGCTATGCTCACAAGAATTCAGTACATTTTTTGCATTAAAAACATGTAGGCATCTGATTTGACTGTCCAAGTTGAAGGGGAATTCATTTTAATCAGAGAATTCTTTCATATAGCACTCTTCTTTAAATGCAATAATATGCTAAACTATGTTCAAGTTCAAGTGTTGAAAAACTGAAAGATCCCAAGGTCAAGTTCACTTTTTGTATAAAACTGAAGGGGAGGAAAACAGCTCAGTGTCCTATAGCACATCAGTGAAAGAGCAAGGAGTCACTTTCTTTCCACATCATGCACTTTGATTTCACTGTTTCATTAAAGTGAAACCGAACTAGCCATTTGCAGACCTTGCCACTTTGTATTTAATAGGGAAAATAATGTTATTAGCTTTTTTTCTGTCTTTATGACTTATCTTATGGTGAACACTATCATTTAGTGAGCTTCTCTGAGTGGAACTTAGTTATGTTTATTGTGTTTTGTTTATTTTAGGTAAGCCTTCCCAGTGATGCAAGCTGTGTTGAGGAAATCCTGCGGGTGAGTTTGAACTTTTATTTCTGTGCCTTTTTAAAAAACTTTTATTCTTCTCTCATACATTATATCATGACTGCAGTTTCCCTTCCCTCCTCTCTTCTCAGTTCACCCTCCCCTCTCCCCCATATCCACTCCTCCTCCCTCCTTTTCCCTTCAGAAAAGAGCAGGTCTCCCAGTGATATCCGTTGTACATGGCCTAACAAGATACAATAAAACTGAGCAAAAACCCATCATATCACATGGCAATCCAGTAGGAGGAAAAGGGTCCCAAGAGTAGGCAAAAGAGTCAGAGACAGCCCCCACTCCCATAGGTGGTAACAAAGCAATCTATTTGTTTAAATTGTCAAAACTACTCTTCTGTTTCAAGAAGTATGATAATGAGGAAATGTTGAATTCAATATCCATGCTCTGCTGCTATATCACCTGCCTCATTTCATACCTCTCATCACTCAGCACTCTAATGTCACTAAAATTTTGGCAATTTCTTCACTGGTCTAGGGATTAATTCTGAGTCCTGGCTAGAAATGCCTCTCACCTTCTTTAGGAAATTTTCCCTATTCAAGTAGCACACCTCAATCCTTACCTTTCTACCTGGTGACTCTCAATGGCACCTCACTGAGCCTGGAATAAACTGTCAATGCAATATGGTTATGGAGACTGTGTGTGGTGTGGTAGGGAGGGAGGAATGGGAAACTGACAAGTCATGGCATGTCTGGGCAGTCCTGCTTAGAGGAGTAGGAAGAGCTTAGGGGAAGACCAAAGTTGAAATGGCTGGTGGTAACTTTTTTGGAAGTTAACATACCAGTAAAAAAACAAAAGGAAGTAAGAAAAATGTATCTACCTATTATCTCTGCCAGTTGGCATCATATGCTAATATAGTATTTCAAGAAGATGAAAAATAGAAGCTTTACCATTTGTCACTTTTATGATATTGTGACTTTGGACAGATGAATGCATCTTTCTGAATCTCCATTCCTTGTCTGTCAAAGATTATAATACCATAATTCTCTTGTAAACTGCCAAGTAGTATATAAATGTTCATTATTATGATAAATGGTGACCAGTATAGGCATGTGGAAACCATGCAGTCTTCCTGCCTGGAAAAAAGGACAAAGTATGTGTCAATGAAAACTTAGCAACCACCTTTTCCTCACTTAACAACATCAGGATGGGCTGACCAGCAAGGAAGACTCCTATGGGTAGGCTCCCCCACCAAATCCCTCCATTGGACCCTGTTATCTACAAGACCCACACCCTGCCCCAAACCTACCCATCCCCCTGCGACCCAGGCTTCCTAAGACACAGAATCCACCAGCTCTGATTGAACTAAGAGAGGCTTCCTCACACACAGAATCCCCCAGTTCTCTTTGGACCAAGAGTTCTCATTGGACCAAGAGTAGCTTCCTGAACAGAGAATCTGCCAGCTCTGAATAGACTAAGAGCCCTAATAGGACCAAGAGCAGTTCCCTGAGACACAGAATCTGCCAGCTCCAATTATATCAAGAGCTAAGGTTGGACCCAGAGTGGCCCCCAGAGACACAGACACAGCAAGCACCAAATGGACCATGAGCAGCTCGCTCAGGCACAGGGACCTCTTGCACCTATTGGAGGAAGAGATGGGTAGACATGAGTACAGAAGTACATACAACAACATAAACAAAAATATGGCATCACCAGAACCTAGCAGTTCTATAACAGCAAGACCTGTACATCACAATGTAGAAGAAGCCGAAGAGAATGACCTTAAAAATAACTTTATGAAGATAATAGGGGTCTTTAAAGAGGAAATAAAAAATTCTCTTAAAGAAATTGAGGAAAAGACAAACAAAAAATTAGAAGAAACCAATAAATTAAAGGAAGCTAAGAAAACCATGAAAAAAAATTAAACAGGTGAAGAAAACAGTTCAAGACCTGATAATTGAAATAGAAACAATGAACAAGACACAAACCGAGGGAATGCTGGAAACAAAAAATCCGAGTAAATGAACAGGAACTACAGATGCAGCATAACCAACAGAATACAAGAGATGGAAGAGAGTATCTCTGGCGTAGATGATACAATAGAGGAAATAGATTCTTCAGTTAAAGAAAACACCAAAACCATAACACAAAATGTCCAGGAAATCTGGGACACCATGAAAAGGCCAAACCTAAGAATAATAGGAATAGAAGAAGGAGAAGAATACCAACTCAAAGGCACAAAAAAATATATTCAACAAAATCATGGAAGAAAACATTCCCAACTTAAAGAAGGAAATGCCTATGAAGATACAATAAGATTACAGAACACCAAATAGACTAGACCCCCCCCAAAAGTCCCCTCACCACATAATAATTAAACCACTAAACATACAGAATGAAGAAAGAATATTAAGAGCAGCAAATGAAAAAGACCAAGTGACTTATAAAGACAGACCCATCAGAATAACACCCAAATTCTCAGTGGAGACTCTGAAAGCCAGAAGGTCCTGGACAGATGTAATACAGATAGTAAGAGGCTACAGATGCCAGCCGAGACTACTATACTCAGCAAAACTTTCAATCACTGTAGACAGAGTGAATAAGATATTCCAAAACCATATTTAAACAATACCTATCCACAAATCCAGCCCTAATGAAAGCACTAGAAGGAAAACCCCAACCTAAAGAAGTTAGATGCACCCACTAAAACACAGGCAATAGATAACCCCACAGCAACAAATCCCAAAAAGGAAAATATTCACACACTACCACCAAAACATAACAGGAATTAACATCACTTAATATCATTGGACTCAATTCGGCTATAAAAAGATAGAGGCTAACAGAAAGGACACAAAATCAGGATCCATCCTTCTGCTGCATACAAGAAACACACCTCAACTTCAAAGACAGACACTATCTCAGAGTAAAAGTCTGGGAAAAGACTTTCAAATCAAATGTACTTAAGAAGCAAGCTGGTGTAGCTATCCTAATATCTAACAAAACAGACTTCAAACTAAAATCAATCAAAAGAGATTGGGAAGGACATTATATATTCATCACAGGAAAAATCCACCAACATGAAGTCTCAATTCTGAACATTTATGCTTCAAACACAAGGGCACCCACATATGTAAAAGAAACATTACTAAAGCTTAAATAACACATCAAACCCCACACGATAATAGTGAAAGACTTCAACACCCCACTGTTACCAATGGACAGATCTGCCAGACAGAAACTTAACAGAGAAATAAGGGATCTAACAGATGGAATGACTCAAATGGAATTAGGGGATATTTATAGAACATTCCACCCTAACACAAAATAATATACCTTCTTCTCAGCACCCCATGGAACCTTTTCTAAAATTAACTACATACTTGTCACAGAGCAAATCTTAATAGATACAAAAAAATTGGAGCTGGGCAGTGGTGGCACATGCCTTTAATCCCAGCACTAGGGAGGCAGAGCCAGGCGGATCTCTGTGAGTTCAAGGCCAGCCTGGTCTATAGAGTGAGATCCAGGACAGCCACCAGAACTGCACAGAGAAACACTGTCTCAAAAAAAAAAAAAAAAAAAACAATTCAAAAACGAAATAACCTTCTGTATTTTATCAGACCACCATGGATTAAAGTTAGATTTCACCAGCAACAAAAATTACAGAAAATCTATAATCACATGGAGACTAAATAATTCTCAATTGAATCACCAATGACTCAAGAAAGAAATAAAGAGAGAAATTAAAGACTGCCTAGAATTCAATGAAAATGAATGTACTATATAACCAAACATATGGAACACTACGAAAGCAGTGATTAGAGGAAAATTCATAGCACTAAATGCCCACATAAAGAAATTGGAGAAATCTCACACTAGCAACTTAACAGTACACTTAAAAGCTCTAGAAGAAAAAGAAGTAAATTCACCCAGGAGGAATATATTCCAGGAAATAATCAAATTGAAATCTGAAAGCAATAAAATAGAAACAAAGAGAACAATACAAAGAATCAATGAAACAAAGAGTTGCTTCTTTGAAAAAATCAACAAGATAGACAAGCTCTTATCCAAACTAACCAAAAGGCAGAGAGAGAACATCCAAATTAACAAAATCAGAAATGAAAAGGGAGACATAACAGTAGACAATGAGGAAATATAGAGAATCATCAGGTCATACTTCAAAACCCTCCACTCCAGAAAATTGGAAAAGCTGAAAGAAATGGACAACTTTCTGGATAGGTACAACATACCAAAATTAAATTAAGATCAGATGACAATTTAAATAGACCTATAACCCCTAAGGAAATTGAAAGTCTCCCAACCAAAAAAAAAAAAAAAAAAAACAGGTCTTGGAGCGATCAGGAATAAGGGAACATACCTAAACATAATAAAGGCAATTTACAGCAAGCCAGCAGCCAACATCAAATTAAATGGAGAGAAACTCAAAGCAATTCCACTAAAATCAGGAATGAGGCAAGGCTGTCCACTCTCCCCATACTTATTCAATATAGTACTTGAAGTTATATAGTACTCTAGCCAGAGCAATGAGACAACATAAGGAGATTAAGGGGATACAAATTGGAAAGGAAGAAGTCTTTCCCTATTTGCAGATGACATGATAGTATACTTGAGCGACCCCAAAGATTCCACCAAGGAACTGACACAGCTTATAAACACCTTCAGCAACATAGCAGGATACAAGATCAACTCAAAAAAATCAGTAGCCCTCCTATATACAATGGACAAAGAAGCTGAGAAGGAAATCAGAGATACATCACCCTTTACAATAGCCACAAATGACATAAAATACCTTGGGGTAACACTAACCAAGCAAGTGAAGGACCTATATGACAAGAACTTTAAGTCCCTGAAAAAAGAAATTGAAGAAGATCTCAGAAAATGGAAAGATCTCCCATGCTCATGGATAGGCAGGACTAACATAGTAAAAATGGCAATCTTACCAAAAGCAATCTACAGATTCAATGGAATCCCCATCAAAATACCAACACAATTCTTCACAGACCTGGAAAGAATAATACTCA